TTTTTTGTTTTGTTTTTTAAGAGAGAGAGAGAATGTGTGTGAGCTGGGGTGAGGGGCAGAGGGGGAGAGAGAGAGAGAGAGAATCTTAGGCAGGCTCCATGCCCAGTGTGGAACCTGACTTGGGGCTTGATCTCAAGGCCCTGAGATCATGACCTGAGCTGAAATCAAGAGTCAGACACTTAACTGACTGAGCCACCCAGGCGCCCCTAATGCATGGAAGTTTCAAATAATAAGTTAAATAAATCATTTAAGCAATAATTTACTTAACTTAATAATTTAAATGAATAGTTATTAAGTAGTAAGAGTTAAACTCTTACTAGATTATGAAATCTATCAGTTTTTTCTTTAGGTAAGGAAATGTAAGTTTAGTTTTTATCTTTAGGGATTTCATCTCCCACTTCAAAATTGGACAAGTTATCTGTTTTCTTCCAATATGTTCTTCTTTTACATTTACTTTATCACAGGATTTATTATTACTGAAAATAAGATTGTTTTCCTTATGTCCCATTTATTTTGCATCTTCCTTAGAAATTTCATTAGTTTCCTTGATGAGTATTTTTCTACTCTGGTACGTCAAGCAGTTAGATCATTCCTTTGAAAATAATGTGATTTTATTCCTTTTCTTTTAGCTTGTCCTTAAAACATACAGGTAGAGAAATGGTCTGCCAGATTTTCCATAACCTCTGCCTTTTTTTTGAAACAGAACATGTGCAGCTAAAATTGAGACCAGGTTTTAGGGTCGTCTCTCCCACTGTTTAGTGATGGCTGGCAAGTGTCCTGTGGCATCACCAAAGAATGTCGCTGGTCTTGGAACAGTGGCAAAGAGAGCATGCTTACTAAGATTATGAAATGGGGCCATGACTTTAACGCTTTTATGTTTGTGTTAAACCTGCTGATGAAGTGTTAACATGCTTAATTAGAGGATTGTTTTCATTGTTCTGTAGGGAATGGATTTGAGGGAGGCCGGCGTTAGTACATGGAGACACTGGTATTAGTTCGGGAAGAGAGGGTGGCGGCGTGGTCTATATCCTGTTCTCACCCTGCAGACTCCATCCCAAGGAGGTTGAGTCAGGAACTAGGGCTCAACTTGCAGATAACAGAAACTACTCTAGGTATTTAAGGAGATCAAGAGTGAATACAGGGAAACAGTATTCACTGAATTGCAGGAGCAGCTGTAGGCTGGGCCTCCAGAAGGTGTCCCAGAACGACTCCCTAGAACTAGCGTGCCCTGGGGGATTGTGTCACAGTGAGGAGGCCAGGGAGTCAGAGGAGGTCACTGTCCAACCGCTGGCTCAGGATGACAGCTGAGCCACCTCCAGACTAAGCACTGGCAGATCTGAACAGCAAAGTGGGTGTCCCACATATCCCTCACTGCACACGCTTCCTAATTCAAGCCATCCCAAAACTTAGATCTAGGTTGTGCACTGGAAGTTATTTTGGAGCGTGCAGCTGATGGGCAGAACCTAAATCACATCCGAAACCTTAGCTGGAAGGGAGTCCGGAAGTAGTTTGGTTTTAGCCTTCCAGCTCCCACTGCGGGAACACGCACCGGGGTGATGAGGGCCTCCCTACCACATCCACGTAAGTCAGGTTCCCCGGAGTGAAGCTGGAGTGCAGGGGTGGAGGCAGGATGTGTTGGAAAGGGCGGATCCTCTGGATTTGGTGGTTGATTTGATGGTGTGCAAAGGATGGAGAGGCAAGCGTAAGGCCAGAGACAAAGCCCATTGCACGTTTTAGATTTTTAAAAGTCTCTTGGTCCTTGCTTAGCAAAATGACCAATGGTTCTATCTTATCAAGAGTGGTGCGAACAAATTTCAAGGGCAAGGGTGATCTCGAAGCTTCCTCATACTTCTGAAATTCTTTTGGAGCTATTACTGTGTCTGAACATACTTTGTCTTCCCAGTTCATGTTTGTCAATAGGAGAAGCCAAAGTCCAACAGAGGGATGCCGCCGTGGTGGATTCCCCCAGCCTCACCCTCCCCAGCTTCTGGAATGTGCCCCCAGGGGGGTGTTACAGACAGATTCCCCAGGCGTGTGGAACCTTATCATGGGAAGCCTAGAGCTGGTTTGCTTGTTGACTCAGAGATGTTGTCTATTCTTGTGCCGCACTGAGGCGCTGTGGAGGCACCAGCTGGCTGCCCTGTCCTGGGCCCCCGGCCCCCTCCCCCAGGCTGAAAATAACAGTGCTTGCGGACACTTTGGGCCACGTTTCCTTTCCTCACTGGCCGTGGGAGCAGTTCTGGCTCTCTCATCTGTTTTTTATCTTTTTCCACCCCAGCATTGTTAATTGATAGAAGTGTGTCAAGGTGACCACGGGATGTCTTATTAGGTAGCAAGTAAAGTGAATTGTGGCTGCCCAAGGTCGGGTATGGTTATTGCTCACATGGCTGAGCTTACAACAGAGCTCAGAGTTTCCCCCCATCTCCCCGAATGCTTTTATTAAAATCTCTTTTGTCTCCTGGCCATCTAATCTAAGCATAAATGTGTTCTTTTGCATCACTTAACCTCAAATAAACTCATCAGTGGAAGTCTGGGTGGAGACCCGAGCGAGTGATTCTCTGTCCCCGAGCCAGCAGCTGGTTACCTCCTCCTCAGCAGCAACCGGGGGATCAGGTCCCTCTCCTGCCAAGAATGTGCCAGACTGGGCGCAGGACCGCATGACGTGATTGGGATATTAATGATTCCAGGTGTTGGTGTTGTAAGCACCTCTTCTTCAGATTAGCCAGGCGTGCTTAGAGATGGAGCTCTTATTCTTAGAACTGATGACTTTGTGGGCAGGGTCCTGTGCTGGGCAGAGAGGAGAGAAAGCGATCCAGAAACAGCTTCAGAATATATACACCTAGCAGGGAAACCAGCGTAGACACACGCAGTTAGTTATGATGCTATAACTCCCATGAGAGAGCAAGACCTGCATTTCTGAAGCTGGGTTGCACCTCGAAAGGTTTTTTGGTTTTTTTTATTAAAAATATATTTACTTTTTTTTACAATATATAGGTGAATGTTGGTTTGCCCACTGACAATCTGGTCTGACAATCCTGCATTCGCAGTACAAAATAACAGGACTGTTGTGCATGTTTCCTGCAGCGTTTGGCTGCATCCTGCTCATGGTGAGTGGGTTGAACCCCAGCCCAGGACTGCAACGCTCATTCATCGTCTTCAGAATGACAGGGAAATGGCAGGACAGGGCTGGCCACTGGTTCTCAGACTTAAGGGGGCGTCAGAATCGCCTGGAAGGCTTGCAAACTGCATTCCTCTGCTTCACTCCGGGAGTTCTCACTCAGCAGGTCTGGGGTGGGGCCCAAGAATTTGTAATTCCAGCATGTTCCCAGGTGATGCCGGGGCTGCTGGCTGCTGGAGCACATTTTGAGGACCACTGGAGTAGACACAGGAGAAGGTTCACCCTCTGAAGAACTCCTGTATCTGAATTCTTATGATTCTGTGCAACCAGCAGTGCCCCGCTCCCCAAACACATGAATAAATCTTGACGAGAAACACGCCCAAACCATCCACTGTTGACAAGACCCCGTGTGGTCTGTGCCTCCCTTTCTTCCTGAGCCTGGCATTGGACATCACTCTGGAAGCAGATGGGTAGAGGAGTTAAGTTACTCTCCCCAGGTCTCTGGAATCTGGAAAGTCAAACATGCCTTGGGGGCATCAGTGAGCAAATGTGTGTCCCAAGGAGTCCAGCGAACAGTGTGACAGGAGGCTGCCTTCCGGCTTTGTCCAGGCCGGGCGCTTCCCTGTACCGTGGCCGGTGCAGAAGTGTGGCTTTTCCCAAAGCCTGCTGAAGTCAAGACCCACAGCTAAGGGCTCCCGGGTGGGGAGGGGAGGGTGCAGGTGCCATCAGGCTTACCAGAAGTTTGGAAATGGAGGGCAGGACCAGAGCTTACAATGCCCTGTAAGGATCCCCTGCATTATACTTGGGTCTCAAGATGGACAGACAAGGGGGCAGGGCGGTGTATTGAGTAAGACAAAGCTAAGATCAGGTTTCACCCCAACAAACCCTGCTTCTGCTTCCAGAACTTCTGACATTTCCACCTCCCCTACCTCATGGTGCATCTCTCCATCTCCACTGACCTGAAGTTCCTTAGCAACTTCTTTGTACCAGAAGGAGGGCATACGATGGGGTGATGTGGGGTGGGGGGCTGCAGTCTTCATGGTGTCACCTGCCGAGACCCTGCTGGTTTGCTCCCAAAGCCCGGATGTGAGCCGTTTTTGGATTTGAGCGCCACGTCCTCATAGGTCTTCCACTTGGACGCACATCGCTTTCAGGGAACAAACGTGGCTCTTCTGCTTCTGCAAAAGGACGACACAAACTTAAGAGACTTGTTTTATTTTGTTATTAAATAATAAAACAATTGTTAAAAGAGTCTAAATGTTGTATTCACAAATCAATTGGCTTTCCCTCCAGGTGGAGGGGGTAGCTTTAGAAGAGAGGGGAAACCTAAGGGACATTTACAAGAGAAAAAGAAAAAAGAATGTTTTGTTGATATTTCAACATTAATTGTTAACTCTGTTTTTAAGACTACTTACAAAGTATGGGGGGAGGGCTTGGGCATGGAAACACAGAAGTTGCTTTTAATTGCCTCGTGTCACGATCCCCTGTGCAGCAAGTTGGCAGGGTCTTCCCTCCTCCGGGCGAGTGACATCTCTGTGGGTGAGAACAGGTGCTGGCCATGAGGACTGCTCGGCCTCCTCTGTTACAGTCCCTGTGGTAGCTAGGGCAGAAGAACACACGCCCCCACGTTTCCTGGGGTGCTCCTTGCAGACGTTTATAATCTGTCCTGGCTATAATGTTACACTGCCTTTTGTGGGCAAATTCTATTTCTCGTTGTTGGCTTTTCAGACCCACTGAAGGGAGGTCTTCATGGTATGTGTGACTTGGTGCTATGAATGGGGTCCTGATCCTTACTGTAGTGATTGTGTTACCCTTATGATTAACTACAATTGGCCTCTGTATGTGCTTCTCTCTGACTTATTTTCTATTTGCCCCTCTCTAGTGGGATCTTGTGTGTGATAATGCCTGGAAGGTCCATATCGCTAAGTTCTCCTTACTGGTTGGATTAATCTTTGGCTACCTAATAACTGGATGCATTGCTGACTGGTAAGTACCAACGTGCCCACTGCACGAACCTTTGGAAGCCACAGCAAGCCTTTGCTGGCTAAAGAAGAGTGGTCTGTGTTAGATCACTGTTAGCGAGTCCTTTCTCTGCCCTGGTATGGGTGTTGGCACAGAGGGCCGAAGCCGTCCCCTGGAGAATTCAAAACTAAGAGCATTGGCCGGTGCATATAACTGGCCCTTTGGAACGGAGAATTTAAATTCATTGCAATTTTCCAGCTGCTAGAATCTAGCAACACCTGCATGCGACCCACAGCCCCCTCTGTTCCTGATGTTTATTGTTTAGTTGGGAAGAGCTTGAGGGCAGAGGTTCAAGGCTCTGTGGGCTGGGCTCTGAGGAGTTAGATATACAAGATGCGTCAAAAGATGGGGAGCGGAGGAGCTAGAGATTACCCACATGCACTGAATGGGTAGGGCTGTGCCAGTGGGCATCTCAGAACACACAGATTTCAGAGAGGCACAGTCCTATAGTTGGCTGGGCCAGGAGACGCCTCTGCAGGGCCCGTGGGGAGCTGGACCTTGGAAAGTGAACAGCATTTGGATAACAGATGGGCACCGCAAGCAGAGAGAGGGTGGTGGCCAGAGGTGAGAATGAATATGCTTTACTCGGATGGGTAAGGAGTTCTTAGTGCCTGGAGCAAAGTGTGTGGTTTCGTGATAAAGTGATAAGGTTAGGGAGACGGAGGGGGTAGTGAAGAGAATCATAGTTAACAGTAATGATGATGACGGCAACGATATTGGCAGCTACCACTTACTGATGGATTACTGTTGCCAGGCACTGTGCGAATCATTTCCACACATTAAAATATCCCATCCTCACAGCACCCCTGTTCGGTAGGTACTATTTATTATCTGTTTACAGTGGAAAAACAGAAGCACAGAAGTCTAAGCAAAATCCCCAAGTTCATTCAGCTTTTAAGTTGGAGAGCCCAGATTTGAACCGAAGCCCAGTGGCTCCAGAGCCTGCCTCTTCACGAGTGTGTGACAGCCCCGTGTGTTCATGAGGGCCACACGGAGCACACATCTGAGCAGGGAGGCAAGCTCCCAATATTGACGGGGGTTTCCAGTAACGGGGCTGCTCAGGGAGAAAGGTGTCGGGTAGCCGTCCCCCTTCCCCCACCTTGACGTTCTTTTATCTTTAAAGGAACTTTTTGCGAATAAGGACATCTTGGACCCGATGACGTCATAAGGGCCAAGAGTGATGTGGAGCAGACCCCTTACATCTGTGGCTTTGCTCTGCGTTGCCCCCTGTTCCCTGGTTAGTTGACAAAGCGGGTTGAGGCACTCCAGCAAGAGCCTGGAGGGGGCCATGGGGCCAAGAAGGGTTCTGAAACCACTCTCAAGTTCTGGACATTTCTTTCTAAAAGCAAACATCTATTTGGGAGTTGCTTTGCATTCACAAGTAAGTGATTTCCTGTGTGTTCAGAATTTGCTTAATCATCATTTGTAAATGCTTCTTAAGGACACATTACTTGGGAGCAGTAACAGAAGCTGCCTCTGAAAACCTATTCCAGGGCCCCCTGGAGGGTTTTTTTGTTTCTTGTTTTGTTTTGTTTTGTTTTTTGGCAGGGGATCAGGGGGTGAAGTGGGGAAGTGGGGGGAGTGTAGGGTATTTTTTAACCCAATCCTTGAGTTTATAGGTTTTCAGAGCAAACTCTACTAATCTGAAACACTCTAATCCCAATATTTTAACCACGAGGACTTTTGTTTCCCAGTATTCTGCACTGAAATAGGTTAGGAAGATATACTAATATAATCCATGTCACATCTTTCTAAAAAATGCAGACTTGACCGAGGTTTGGGTGTCCTTATTTAGTGGTATCATCGGGAAAGTTAATACGGACTTCTGTGAATAGATCAGTCTATAATGGCTTAAATTGTTTAGAAGTTGGGTTTGTTTTTTTTTTTTTGGTGATTTCTTTACTTTTTTTTTTAATTTACTTTTTTTTTTTTTTTTTTCAGCAAAGCAAGGTTTATTGAGCGACAGCTAAGTGATAGTACAAAGCTCCCAAGGAGGGGAGGGACCCCCGGGGGTTGCCCGTGATTTCTTACTTCTTGCACGTGTCTGCTGTTTGGCACCCCGGCTCACACACCAGGCCTGGGGACAAAAGGCAGAGGAGTTTGGCGGTCTTCCTCATAAGTAACCCGAGCCTGATGATGTTGCCAAGCCACACCTCTACAGTCACTTTTGCTTGGTCCAGTCCGTGGTGAGCGGGCAGGGGGTGCCCAGAGAGGCAGGGCCGTCTGCTCTGTGCCTGTGGTTTTTGAACATCTTGAGTGGACTTCAGTTCCAGTTTGAAAGTTTGGTGTTTTCCACCCTTTATTTATTCATTTATTTTTGGCCGTTTATTCCCTGCTCGAGCCGTGCCCAAAGGGAAATAAGCACATTTAGAGGGAACTCCAGACTTCACAGCTGTCAGCACCCATTTCATGGCCTCATGGGGAAGTTGATCAGGTCATAAGTTAAGCTTTCTAAGACTGAAGTCAGCACATGTTGAAACTTCAGTAAGACCCTTTTTTATTTTATTTAATTTTTTAAAATGAATCTCTACACCCAGTGTGGGCCTCAGACTCACAACCCTGAGATCGACAGTCACATGCTCTACCGGCTGAGCCAGCCAGGGGCCCCAGGACACTTTTTTCTTTAAAAGGTTACCGTGTTCCACCCAATCTTGTTTGGGGATCTACAGTATGTACTATCCTATAACGTGTTAGCTTAGACGTTTACGAGGGAGCAGCCCTGTCCGTGCTCTTGCGGGATGAGCTCCCTTCCCTCTATTATTGGTTCTGTTGCTGGACGTTGTGCCCTTCTCCCTTCAGGAGCCCTCTGCACCCTCTCCAGCTGGCCCTGGGCCCTGGCCTTTCGAGGCTGCACCAGAGGACCCCTTGCCCTCTAGCTCCAGGCTGAGGCTGGCCATGGGGAGGGAACACCAGCTGGAGGTCTGAGAGAGAGAGATGAGAGTAAGGGGGGACGTTTCTGTCCCAGCTGGGTCTCTGCAGGGCTGCCAGGGGCTGGCTGCCTTTCGTTCCGGGCCCCTCTACACTGCACCTCTCTCTCTGGGTTCCAGGACCATCCTTCCCCCTTCCGTTGCCGACCCCAGGGTTTCTCTCACAGCTTGCCCAGCCTTTTGCAAATACTAAAATCTTCCCAAATCACTCTTTTTGAGTGGAGCATCTGTTTCCTGTTGAGACCCTGTGTTATTTCCCTATGGCTACTGTGATGAATCACCACACACTTGATGGCTTAAATTAATTAACTTAGAGTTCTGTAGTTCTCACGAGGCTAAAATCAAGGTGCAGGCAGGGTTGTATTTCTGGAGGCTCCAGGAAGGAATCCTTTTCCTCACTTTTTCCAGCTTCCAGCGACTGCCCACATTCCTTGGCTCATGGCCCCTTTCCTAGCCTCAAAGCCAGCAGTGACAGTCAGATCTGCTCATGCCGCCATCTCCCCTCCCTGCAGCCTGAAGAGGCTCTCCATGTGCTTAGATCCACCTGATGATTCCACCTGAATCATCACCTGGTCTCAAGGTCTTTGACCGTAATTGCATCTGCAGAGCCCCTTTCTTCCATGAAAGGTAACATAGTCACAGGTTCTGAGGAGGAGGTCGTGGACAACCTTGAGAGCCACTATCTCTGCCCACTTAAGATGCCACCTCTGCATTAACGGATTTTGGAGTGTGGTTTTGTATGTCATCTCTGAGGGGATTCTGCTCTGGAGGAAACCAGTTCACACTAAAACTCCAATGATCATAACATTTGTTACTAAATCTTACTAAATCACCCATACCTGACAGCAACCCCATTCGGTCGGCATTAACTGGCCCTTCCAAAGAAAACTCAAGGCTCCTTTGAACTTTAGTCTTTCCCAAGATCTTGCAGTGTATAAGTGGCAAGCCTATATTCAAGACTGGGGTGTCTGCTTCTAAAGACCATGTTTGCCCCACAGTTCCTAAAAACGATTTTTACTTATTGATGTTAGCAATCATTTGGGAGGGAGAGATTTAGATTTAGATTTCTACAACTTAAAAAAAAAAAAAATGAAGGATCTTTTCTAAAGTATCGGAACAGGGCAAATTGTGTTTGGTGGGTACCCAGGCTGTAGACATGTAGGAAGGAATCATATGAGCTAAACCTTTACTTGCTCTGTGGCAGGCTTTGTGCCTACATCCATCACCTTTCTTAATGATCTCAATAATGCTGTGAAGTCAGACAGTTATCCCCATTTTTACAGACAAGGAAGGGGGAAATAACAACGGAGAAGTTAGATCTCATCTTTGTTTTCAGGAGACCAGCTAAGCCATATTATAAATTTAAGTGGATTGGGTTTGGATAAAACTACCTATAGAGTACATGACAAGGGCTTCATGACCCCAGCACCAGTCAAGGGACATAATGCCTGAAAGCTCTGACAAGAGTTGACTCACACCGGCATTGAGTTCATCTCACTAAACCCATGTGACTAATGGGAATGGTTAGAAGCCTAAGAAATAATGAATGAAACTGTGCTCTGTAGTTCCCTTCCTCATATCTTCTCGAAATTACATCCATTTCTTTCACAGGACAAGGACGTGCGTTACTAAGTATTCCTTTTTTCTTAACGGCTTTATTGAGAAATAATTGACATACCATAAAGCTCACCTATTTTAACTGAGTAATTCAATGAGTTTTGGTATGTAGACAGAGTTATAGAACCATCACCATACTCTAAGTTTAAAACATTTCCATCACCTTGAACGGAAATCTTGTGTTCACTTGCACTCATTTCCCATTCTTGTCCGGAGCCCTAGGCCACAAATCTCCTTTCTGTTTTCATTTGTCACAAGAACGTCACAAGGATGTCTAGGCAAGTTTAAGCCAATTCAGCTACTCTTTAGGTGTTTGGGGTACCAGGTGTAAATTTTTTTTTTCCCTTTGGCAGATAGTCCACTACTCCAATTTTTCTGTGAGCTATCCTTCCAGTTCAAGCTGGATTTATTATATTAATTAGTGTGGTGGAGAGTTTGGGGTTTTGTTTTTGTTTTTCCTCCTAATGAGTTGATGAAGGGAAAGATGGAAAGATACTTCCGGAAGGATGGAGAACTAGCGACTTCCTGTTCCCTGGGACCACCCCCTCTGCCCTGCCAGCCACACCTAGAAGCACATTGCCCCCTAGTGGTCACCGATCTCGCACCCGCCCGTTCTGTAACCCGCCAGCCTAGTGTGTGCGCGCTACCCTTTGTGGAAACACAGTAGGCCAGGTTCTTTCCAAGCCCCTTGCTGCCTGGTGGGCTTCACTTCCAGGTCCACGCTCCTTAGTTAAAGTTCAAACTCTCTTAGTTTAGTCTGTGATCCCTTAAAAAGTATTTCTCATCATGTAGCTGAAACAGATCAGCCCCTGTCAGGTCCTGGACTCTGACAGGTTGCGTGGGAGGTCAGGTAGGACTAGTTAACAGCCCAGAGAAAGGAAATGAAGTGACTTGGCTCAGTGTTTGTGTTGACTTTGGAGCCCATTCCAAAGGTCAGCAATTTCTCAAGACATTTTATGCTGGGTGTGTCAAGGTTTGTGTTTGGGGAGTTATTATTGATTTTGTTACTCTTGCCTTGAATCATTCCCCTCTACACTCAGAAACAGACTTGCCAACAGGAACTGGGTCCCTGTCTCAATTCTACTCAGTAGCTGTTTTGACCTCTGCCCCCTTACGTACAAAGCAAGGGTTTGGGCTGAATTTCCTCAGAGGGCTTTTCTACCCTGTGGTCCGTGCATGCGGTCCACGCGTGCAAACTGGGTCTAGACACCACAGAGCCTTTTAATCTAGTACTCATCCCACATCTGTGGAGCGCCAGCTGGATACTGGGGGTCAGCATCTAGCATTGCAACCCTGTTTAACGATACTTCCTAATTTTTTCCCCTCTTCACATGCAGGGTTGGCCGGCGGCCTGTGCTGTTGTTTTCCATCATCTTCATTCTGATCTTTGGACTAACCGTGGCACTGTCAGTGAATGTGACCATGTTCAGCACCCTCAGGTTCTTTGAAGGATTCTGCCTGGCTGGAATAATACTTACCTTGTATGCATTACGTAAGTAGGAGCCTTCATGACTGTCTTGAAGAAATTAGTTGGCAGTTTTGCTGCTGCCCGTGAGGTTATGGGAAGGGTGCTGTGCTTGCTGGCGGTTTGGGATGGCAGTCTTTAGGAAGCACAAATTTCAGTGGCCTCAACTGTTCCTGAAAAAGTTGTCTCGGGCAGTGTCATCCAATACTCTGTCCTGACTTCCAGCTCAGGCCCAGGGCTCATCGAAGGACATGGAGGGTTTACATAATTGCTTGGAGAAATGGAGGTCTGCCCACAGCTGATATGGACGGGCTTTTGCTTTCCTCCAGAATTTTCTGGGTTGACATTCTGCACACTTCCAAATCCAGTGCATAATCGGACATTCCTGTACTTGGTTCCAGAAGAACATACCAAGTACCACTACTGTTTGGTCTGGGCTCAGCGATCTCATTGGCGCTTTAAGAGTTTTTCTCATTTTTTTTTTCCTACGGTTATGTAGAGTCCAAAATTCCTACACTCTCCTGTGTCCACATGTGGCCTGATGTGGTCTGGACATGAACCCTCAGTACTGGAAGGGCAAATCTCAGCATTTGTTAGCATTTGCTCTTTTTAGGGTGAAAAAAAATTTCCTCCATTGATCTAATGTGTTTGTTGACTATATTAATTCTCTTTTCAGGCATGCTTATATCTCACTTCTTTGTAGTTGGTGTTTACTAAAACAGCCACAAACTCATAGGGAGGACGAAGGTTGTAGGCCTTGATGTTTTACTTATTTTCTGGTTTTATACTTTTTAATTACCTTGTTGAAAGATGTTAGGAATAATGTAAAATGATTTATAATATATCTTGCCTGCTTCTTGCCTTCTGACAACATGGGTAGGAATCACATGTAGACAATGCCCAATAGTTCTGATTCTCTTAGATTTGCATATTAAAGACTCAGTAACACTTTTCGGGTAACCTGAATTTTTGTTCCCGATTGTAGAGAATAGAAATAGAATCAATTTGTAACATAGTTTTATTAGTCACAAAGGAAGAAGGAGCATAGAGAAAGGTGACAGATGTGTTCTTCCAAATCTACAGTTGGCGGTTCTGTCTTTCTCTTCCAACACTGAACTGAACTGTACTTTCTTGGAAATCACCGTTTCCAGTTTATTTGCATTTATTTTGGAATCCTTGTTTCCGGCAGGAAGAGGTTCTTTAGGAATGTGTTCAAGGTCAGTGGGTCTGGGTGATGGCTATTTGGAGGTTTTGTTTCTTGGAGCAAACAACACGGGCATGGGGCTTGAACGTTCCCAGACAAAATGCCGGTGCCCTTGTTTGGCCTCACCGCCCCCTGTGGTCCATGTGTGCGGTCCACGTGTGCGGTCCACGTGTGCGGTCCACGTGTGCACAGGAGGAGGCTCCGCGCTCTTTTCTGGAAGAGACCCCTGGCCATGCTCTCAGACCCTTGCCTGCGCCACGCATGTGCCAGCGTGGTGGGTTTTCTCAGGCAGCCGTCCTTGCGAGGTTCCTGGCTCCCCCAGGATGACGTCAGGCCAGTGCATCCTCATGGATACCATTAACGGAGACGGCTCTGTGCGTCGACAGGATAGAATAGCTCCACTCAGGAATGGGGCAGGGAGCATTGCCTCCGTGTCACCAGCCCCAGCGCTTCTCAGACTCAGAGGCGGAGTGTTGATGGAAAACCACCTTGAAGCAAAGATGGGTACCAGTTTTTTCTTGCATGCCAACCGCTAATGGTTGGCCGAGGCTGCCAGAGAACTCAGAGAACACTTCGGAGGACACTTCGGGGCTCCCTGGGGGAGAGCAACCGGAGCCCTTGGCTTCGTCTGCCTGCGATAAGGAAGGACTGTGGGGAGGGCTGCACATAGCTGGCACTTGCCATCTTTACAACTAACTCTCCCTGAATTAAGCCAGAGCGGGAGAGAGTTTCTCCTGACCTGCCTTGTTGCAGCCTCACATAGGACTGTTTCACTGGCGTGTGTTATGACATCATGCCATCGGCCCTGAAACCCATTGCTGTATGTACTGTGAAAAATGAAGCTAAGGATGTGTTTTCACGAGATTGCATAGTGAGTGCTTTATACTAGAATGTTCTCTGTCAAAGGGTGTGCTTATCCTAGGAAACTGCTTTGCTTTGATCTTGTATGCACAGAATCATGTAACCTGGTCATCTGCAAACTTTTTTCTGAAAAGGGCCGGATAGTAAACACTTCAGGTTTTGCAGGTCTCTGTAGCAGCTGCTTGACTGCCACCATATGGCGAAGAGCGACCATAAATGATACCTAAATGAATAGGTGTGGCTGTGTTCCAATAAAACTTAACTTAACCGAAACAGAAAGTGGGCCAGGTTTGACCAGTGAACCATAATGTTCAGCCACCGATATAAGTGAGTCCCTGTCTTTCCACTGGCTTCTAAGAAGCTCAAAAGCTAAGAATCTAATCCAGCCATGTGTATGATGAGCCTGACAAGCTGAGCTTTAAATTCTGGCCTCTCTCCTAAATTCATCTAAACTTTCCTCCCTTCATTTCTCCTTTGTCCCATTTTCCTATTTCCATAATATAAGTGCTACTTTATTGCATATATTTGTGCCAGGAGCCTTATACTTTTTTCTGAAATGAAGCAGGGCATGAATAAATAATTATGTTTTCTTAACTTGGGATTACAAGTCAAACATCCTGACAAATATCATGGCAATGAGAATTTCCAAGTATCAACCAGCTGTCCACTGTTTGAGTCAATATAGCATCTGATAGAGCAAAGTTAGACTAAAGCAAAAGGATATCAGTGAGTCCTTGGAGTTCATTGAGGGAATATCGAGACAATAAATTAGGGGGAGGTTGGTGATGGCAGAGGAGCTAAGATGGGCAAGGGGAATCAAAAATGGAAATGAAGTTGTAATGGGCGGCTGGGATTGAAGTAGGATATGGCATGTGCTGGGCCCGGGTAGCCCATCTCTGGCAATTTTAGGCAAAGACAGAGGCTGGTGATAAGAGGTTAAGAGGCAGGCTCCTGGTCAATAGGGCAGGCTGCATCTGAATTTCCAAATTAGTGTGCTTGCTAGTGTTTTATACACAGGTAGTACATGCTTGCGAACTTGTTTTGCTTAAAGGAAAGTATTGATAACCCCGGTCACAGGGTTGAAGTATTTATTGACTCTAAAGAAAAGTTTTTAAATTGGAGGCAATGATTATTTGGAAAATACATTTTTAATGGTCCTGACATTTTCTCCCCCTTCAACCATACGGGTTTTTGTTGTTATTGTTGTTTTTTAATCTCACTTAATGCATCTGCTGGAAAGGCTTGTACTTTCTCAGAAGAGAACCGGGTATGATTCTTTTTTTAGTCCTGCAGGTGCTTGGCAATGGAAGCAGGGGAAGTCATGATTTGTGCAGATTTTGTTTCTTGTGTAGCTTGCCGTGAGGGTGGACTCTTCATTTTGCGAAATGCTGCTGACTTGTGAAAGTTTTCAGCTTTATGTGCAAGGCTGCCAGAGGGTTGTTTTTTTTTTTTTTTTCCTGCTTTGGAATTTTTCTAAGGTGCATTCCAGATAAATACGCTCTCCTTTAAACTTCCAAGTCATCGAAGGGAGACATGGTAGTGTAATTAGGACATAAAATAGAGATTATTCGCATCTTCCCATGAGTCTTCATATGAAAGTGGAGTGCACGCTGGCCCGAACGAGAGAGAACCAGCGAAGGTGGATGGCTTCGTGTCTGCCTGGGAGGCCACTGGGAGACACAGAAATAATTAAACACACTCGGGCTAAATCATTGGCTTCATTGTGTCCCTTTACCTCAGGCTGGGGTCGGGTGTGGGGAGGAGAAGAAAGAAGGTGGGGGAGAAAATGTTGACTCTGCTGGGCAAGAGGCAGGGAACCACAGACAGAGAAAAGAATTACATCTCCTTATTTGTTTATGAAAATGAAGTCTTATCAAAGACTAAAGAAATAGTCGCTGTGCCTTACAGGCTGACATGATGTGTTGTGGTATGAACTTTTTCTCCAGCGAGGACTCATAACATCACAGACATGGAAACATAGTATCATTTCAGATGTATCTTTCTTCAAAAGAAACCCATGAGAGATTATTGCTTTTTAAGTTAATTTTATGTTAGATGTAATAAGTCTATGGGAGAGATTTTTTTTTTGATGTAAATAGTTTTTCTAGTTTCTCTCTTCATTTGATCTGTGTCTTCCCCCTTCCCATCATTGACAACCTCCCCCCCACCAAAACCCCGATTTGACCCCCCCTACACTACTTTTTGCTAGCAGAGACCGTATCTTAGTTACTTTGGGTGATTGAACATCACTTCTTTGTTCTGTTTTTGGACCCAACAACAGTGAACAATTTCCTTGAAAACTTCTCTCCAAGCTTCATGTTCTCATTAAGATAACCCTCCTTCAACCCAGTTAGCCTAAATAACTGGATGAATTTTACACATAATCAAGCGGTGACCAGAAATGTCACAGGTGACTAAGTTCCTGAGTATTTCGCAAAAGGAGAAGCCATGTCTAACTGGTAACTAGACTCGGAAAAGTCTTGAGTTTGCTCTGGGCGGGGTGATGCTCTCCGTCTTGCCTGGCACTGATGGGTTTAGCCTCTCGCTGAAGTGATTGAGTAACTCCTAATGTGCTGGTGTAGGGTGACTCTTCCTCGCTTCACAGATTTCTATAATTTGATGTCTCTCTGAACTATTAGTCCCCAGAACATATTTCAGTCAACTGGGTTGTTAAGCATCAAAGTCATGCTGTACATTAAAAAAAGAAAAAAAAAAAAAAAAAGGACTGAGCCAGAACATGGTGAGTTGCTGAACTGTGGAATGAAGAGAACGGTGATTACCACTGTCAAGTACAAGAGGCTTTCCACTGGCTTGTGCCTCACTTCTGCTGGGGAGCAAATATTTGCACTGCGTTTGGGGGAAGCGACAATTTCCCGTGAATGCGCGCTCGGTCACCGCTGCCTGTCTCTGTCCGCTCTCACCTGTCACAGGCTTCAGATTCCTGGGCCCTCCCCAGAGCAAC